TCTTTGGTACCTGCTGACCTAGAACAAGCCTCTCGCTCTGTGCTGAAGGTGGCTCATTTGAAGTGCCTTATCGTTCAGTGAGTGGGCAGCGTGTCCCTTTATTTTCATCATGCCTCTGCTTTGCTGAGTCCTCATTTTCCCTATTTATAGATGCCCCAGGAAGCAATTCCGTTAAGCCTCACCTGCATCAGCATCTCCCCATGCAGTGCCCTAGTTATGGCACAAACTGGGGGCTCTCTAATTAGTATTTCTGTCTCTACTCAGACTCACGTTTTGGGCCTGGCTTTATAAGGATGATCACTGTATAATTTCACACATACCTTGTCCTGGCTATGGCTGTACCCAGTCTGTTCTGTCTCTGGAGCTTTCCATCTGCAATCACAACGCAGCACAACCCTAAGAAATGTTAGAATCATATCATAGAATCATAGAATGGCCTGGGTTGAAAAGGACCACAGTGATCATCTAGTTTCAGCCCCCCTGCTGTATGAAGGGTTGCCAACCACCAGACCAGGCTGCCCAGACCTGTTCTTCTATCCTGTCTGTCCTCTCCACTCTCCTGCCCACCACCACCTTAAAAGGGCTCTGTTTATTTGTAATCTCTTCTGGTTTTGAGAGGGAGGCAGAAGATAATAGCTCTTCTCCTGCATAATCTAATAATAGAGAACTAATCCAGAAACACGACTTGGTCTTAGAAAACCTTCCACCCTTTATTATTTCTATGCATCGCTTTGCATCTAGGGAAATTCTGAAATTCAGATCAGAGGGATGAGGAAACGTCAATGACTCAAGAGGTTTAGGAGATCCTGTGTAGGATGAGTGCCACCAACCCTGCATCATAGGCAGCTGAGCATTTGGCCCCATGGTTTTCTATGAGCTACTGAAGGGTCCAGAGACTGTTCCAGTACCTGGCCCTACACTGCCAGCTCTCCCAGCACAGCCCTGATTATTGGGAGGTTGGGTATTTCTCTGGGTCAGAACAGTTTCTTGAGGACTTCAACCTCATCTGAGAAAAAGTTGGAAACCTGGTCTCCATGCAGTGAAGCAGAATCCAGAAGAGCTTTATTAAGAAGAATCAGTTATTGAAGCTGATTTCAATCTGGGGATCCTAGTAATGCTTTTTAGCTGGTGCTGTCTGGAATTACAGCTCAAATATTGGAGCCCTCTGGTTCAGGCAAAGGACAAGAGAGGCAATTTTTATGTCCTCACACACCTAGTGATGTCCTGGGCAAGAGGGGAGGAAAGCAGCCACCACAAACCCATGCAAAACAGTGGTAGACTCAGAAAGTCTGAATCCAAGAAAGCCCATGAGCTTGTGTACCTCAGGGCACTGCAGTTCTCCTAGATCCCTGCATGCAGTGAAATGACTGCTCTGAAACGCTGTTGGGAGTGCAATCTGCAGTGCACAGCAGGTCAAAAGCAGAGCTTCCAAAGCCCAGTGCTTGGCCATGGTCAGCAGTCCCTGAGCTCGTCCTGCTCCCAGCCTCTCCTGTCATCTGATGGTGTTTCCAGCAAGCCCCCTGCAGCAGCTATAGCAGTAAGGCTCACACCTATCCCTACGATGTACTTTCAGTGCATGGATAGTTTGTGAATTCTCTCTCTAGCTTACACCAGAACCACCTGAGCTCCTTAACTCAGAGTATCTAGGCCTTTTCCAATCTACATCTATGGTTTCTTAGGAACCAGACCATTAGTGGGTTTCTTTCACATCACATTACCTCTCTCTTCCTCCATACCTTTGATAAAAAAGCTTCGCTGATGGAAATGATGTCAAAGCCACAGCATCCCTGTATAAAGTTTTGATCTTGGTGAATCACAGTTATGCAGAAGAAAAGAAAAAAGAATGCTTTCAAAATCATTTTGATGAAATCACTTCTACACGAGATGTGCCTGTGTCAGATGTTACAGCTTGGCACCACGATAAGAGAGGGAGGAAACTCTGGAGTGTGGCTCAGCACGCTCATTTAGAATGGGACAAATGGCCACCTGAGGATGTGTGCTTTTGGACACCATCTGTAGGCAGAGACACAGCTCCATTTTTCCTGCCCTCCGCTTGAGGATGGGAGGAAGGGAAGAGGGCAGGGATGGAAGATAAATATCTCTTGGTACCATGAGAAGGGGAAAAAGAATGAGCTCTCTGGCTAGCTTGGAGCTCAGCAGTGCTTACAGATGGACCTGAAAACCTGGAAAGAAGGTCTGTCTTTTGGCACGAATGTGGAGCTGTCAGCCAAGGGTAAGTGTGGATCTATGCAGTCGAATGCAGTCACATAAATGAGCCTAAGCACAGTGCCTGTCCACACTGCTGAAGGTGGTGGATGCCTTCACATTCACATCCATACTGCATCTTCAAGAGCAAGCTCTGCATTTCCAAGGGTCTGCAGGGTTCTGACTAACATGCAAAGGTGTGCAGCTCTGCACTCTGACGTGTGGAGCCCACTCTTCCCAGGACTTCCTGCTCTTCATTTCTGACACACTCAGAGCCTGTCTGGCTTCTTGCCCCTCAAAGATGATTTTGTTTACTTGATTTCACTCATGGCATCAAGCACTTGAGCAAGAAATTGACTGTGACTTGCACAGCAAGAAAAGAGAGAGCAAGCAGCACGATACATGGAAGAGTCAACCAGGCCCTGAGCCCAGCTCTGTAAATCCCACTGAACTGAGTGACATCTGAGTGTAAAACAGATCAAAGCACATCTGGAATTCTTCTATCTGCAAAGCATGAAGCAGAAGGGAAACTGCCCTCTTTGAGCTCTTCCTACCCTCATCTATGTCAGAGCTCACTGCCTGCCTCATCCAGCTTCCCACAGCTATTCCTGCTGTCCACCACATCCCCCTCCTTCAATAGCATGTCTTTCAAATGGCTTTCTAATGCCTGTAAACAGAGAAATTGGCATCTGGACAGCAGGAAATCTAGGAAATGAGCACAAGGGATTCTTCTGGGCTTATGGCCAATGTATAGTCCTATGAGCCACTGAAAAGCACAGCAGAGTCAAGCTCTAGAAAGCAAGAACAGTGTCACTGGGTTGGCATAAAGCGACTCAGAGTCCATGCAGGGTAAGTGACAGTAATGCACTTGTCTGCTCTCTGCTAACCACAGAAGCATTGAAGCCAAAGTACCTGTGATACCAATTTGGAGACAGACAAACTCAGATCTGAGTTCTGTTCAGGGCTGGTTTAGTTTTCATGGGGAAATGCCACAACACACAGCTGTTTTTATCACGTTCATTCTGACTTTTGCCACTTCCTTGGTGTCCTCATGCAGGTAGAGCTGTAGGCATCCATCCAAGCATTTTGAGGAGACTCCAAGGCTATGTCCAAACATAGAAGTTTCCTCAGCATCCAGCACAGCATCCAGCAAGCCTTCTGATTTTTTCTATAGGCTTTGAAGTGGTGTTGATCCTGCAGCCAAGCCAGGCTGAGCTGTTCTCTGCTACTGTGCTTCAATTTCAGCTATAGAGTTGAACACCTCAAGGCTCATAAAGATGCTCTCAGGTGTTTTAGGACAGCTCCTGCCTCAGGCATGCAATATCTCAGAAAAACCTTCAGCACTGGCATGAAGGGGACAAATCCAAGCAAAGATGGCAGAAAGCAGCCAGCAAGGTGCTGATTACTCACCTGTGTGTACACAAACTGGACATGCATGCAGGCAGAGGGACTGTCAGGGCTGTATCAAGGCATTTGTGAATCCCAGCACAGGATACTGAATTCTTGCTTCACCTCTTGGGCTGAGCACTGCATTTGAACAGAAACCTGCCTGACTTAGCTGCAGAAATCAGTGCTTGTGTTGGTCATGGAGTTATAAGGGTATCAGGCAGCTCTACTGGGATCCCAGTTTCATGCTGCCACACAGCCACCCTGCCTCCCTCCTTCCCATGGTTGCCTTCTCCTCCTCCTCCTCCTCGCCATCAGCATACAGTCAGGCTCGTACTAAGCTGTGGCCCTGCTGTTATCCTTCTCTCCTTCCCTCCTCCATGCATAGCTCTTCTGTGATGCTCAACACCAATCCCAATGCTGCAAACCTCGCTGATGCTCAGGAAGCCTGGAGACCCTCAGCCTCACTTGCACAAATATTCCTCTAGCACATGTTCCCAGGGCCTTGGGTACACCTGGAACAACGTTCTTTATCTTCTCTGGGCAGTGCCTGAGCACGAGGTCCTCCCATTTAGCACTGCATGCCACCTGTCTGTGACAGACTGGTCTTGCATGCGTAGACATCAATACTTCGAGGGCCCTATCTGACTTCTAGAGGTTATTCACCTCTATCTGCAACCTGGAGTCTTCAGCTCCAGCTAAAAAGTCCTACTATTCTGAGCATCTTGAAATATGAATGGCGTTGGGGGAGCATATGGGACAGCTCGAAGGGAAGCAGGAGCATCAGGAGAGAGAGCTTTGTGCAAACAAACCCTTCGTTGGCACCAATTAAAGCTTGCATAACTGTGCCGAGTATGTCTTATTTATTACTGTCATGTTAAATGCTGAGCTAGCTTTCAGATTGGGTATTACTCAACACCCTTTTAATTTTTCAGCTTTTTAGCCGTGCTTTGTCCCTTGCAGATGACAACCACTTAGGAAAAAGAAATCTTTATTTTATATTTTTTTTTATACTTGTACACAAGTAAAATAAAATGCATATCTATATATACTGCAATCTTGTGAAGGAAAAGGTAGCATTCTTTAACAAATGCTGCCCGTAAACATGGTGTGATGGAATGGATACGGAAAAAACTGCAATATTCATAAACATAGGATTAAAACAGCATCAAATTCATTACCTCTGCAAATGGGAACCTGCAATACTGTTCAGTGTGATGTCAAGTTACAAACAGATTTCAGACATTCTTTTCAGACCATTTCTTACACTTTTTTTTTTTTTTTTTTTTCTGTAAATAAACCATATTTCTTTCTCATCTGCTGTAGCAAAACCTGCTTTGTGAGTAAGTGCAGTTCCGAAGACCAAAGGTATAATTCACAGGTATCAGGACAAATAAATTATGTACATCTTTTTGTTTGTCTTTTTTGTTTGCTTTTGTTTTGTGTTGTTGTTTTTTTTTTGTGTGTGTGTGTGTGTGTTTTGTTTTTATATAAAGGCATCCAGTTAACTTTTGTGTAACAAAGCTTTCTCGGGGTGGATGGTAGTTTGCTTTTGTTTGCAACATTTATGGAGGTCAGCAAAAGTCTAGTATTAAAGTGTCATCAACCCAGGAAAAAGAGTTAATTTTAGCAGAGTAACAGTAAGCTCCACACCAAAGGGGGGATCAAAAGGCTTAGGCTGAGCTGTAACGTGGAGCTGTTTCCTTGCTGGGTGAGGCGGCACTGGGCCTTTGATTTGTTCTTTTTAGAGCAGCCCTGCCTCTTTTTGGTTGGGACTGTGGAAGGTTCAATAGGCTCTAGAAACTCTGGTCTCAACTTGGTCAATGGAGGGTCTACAATGCTGGGGAAGGTCCCAAAAGGGGAATCGTTTATCTGCTTGTTGCTGCCGTTTTTGGAAGGGTCCGTCTCAACGTACTTGGTTTTGGACATGTTCTCCTTATCCTTGAGAGGGTTGTTGGAGGACGGCCGGCTGCTGTGGGAAGAAGGACCTGCCTTGCCTTTAGCTTCGTATATAAAAGATTTATCCATTTCTGACTGGCAGCACTTCATGGAGCCATCATGGGAGCTGAGAGGTGGACTCCCGGTGGCCAGTTTACCAGATCTGGTCTTAGTGCTAAAAACGCTCGTTCGAATCTGGTTGAAAGAGTCGATGCATCCTTCCAAGTCAGAGCTCTGCAGCCTTTTGAGGTCTCTCCCTGCCAAGCGTGGTGGAAGGTGGCACTCCAGCTCTGAAGATGACCCTTTAAACTGCTTAAACCAATTCCAGAGAGACCGAGCCTGGCAGTCACAGATCCATTGGTTGCCATTTAAGCGCAGATACTGGAGGGACACCAGGGGTGCCATGGTTTCCCCTGTGAGCACGGTCAGGTTGTTGTTAAACAGATACAAGGTCATCACTTTCCCAAGGTCGTGAAAAGACCGGCGGTGGACCAGGCTGACTCTGTTCTGATGCAGAAGCAACCGGTCGAGGTTGATTAACCCACGAAAGACGTTCTCTGATAAGCTCTTGATTTTGTTACCGTGCAAAAACAGGTAGGTGAGGTTCGCCAGATCTATGAAGGTGTCATCCAGCAGGTTCTGCAGGTTATTATCCTGAAGGTAGAGATACTGCAAGGAAAACAACCCTCGAAAAAGCCCCGTGGAGAGCTCCATGAGCCCACAACGATCCAGATGTAAGGTGTGGAGGTGAACAAGACCACGGAAAGTGACGGGATTGATAGACTTCAGGTTCGTGTTGTCACTGAGATCCAACTCCTCCAGTTTGTTGAGTCCGTAGAAGGCTCCAGGCTCAATGAGGCTGATGTTGTTGGAGTGGATCCAAAGAATTGTCATGTTGCGACACGACGTGAAGCTGGTGGACCTCACAAGGGTTATCTTGTTGTTGTGCAAGAAGATGCGCTGGCTCTGGATGGGTATCTCCGTGGGGATTGCTGTCAGTCCTTGCTGCTGACAACTTATTGTGATCTTCGGTTCACTGTAGCACACACACGCTCCAGGGCAAGACTCCACTTCTGACTGGATGTTCAAGCAAAGCACCAAAATCAGCAGTTTGCTTCCTAAAGGACAACAGAAATAGTATGAAAATTAGCCAGGATCGCAGGAGAGCGCTTTTCTTCGTAACTAACAGATAAGCCTGAAAATCACCCTTCTCAGCACGCTGCCATTAACCACAAACAACATGTGCCAGGGGAGCCAAACAATTAAAATGAAGAATTAAAAATCTTCTACCGCTCAAGGCAACAGTTAAAAACAGTACACAGTCATAGTGACAAATCCTGAGCACCTCCTCAGCCATTCACATCTGGGAGGCATCTGACTTTGGTCAGAGAAATAAGCCATCTTCACTACGTATTTGCACCGTCAGTCCTGGAAACACAGCTAATGGAAAGTTGATTCCAAGGTGCTTACCTGCAGCTGTCTCCCTGGGGCTATTTATCTGTCACAGGAACATTTAGGACAATTCAGCCTATGGGAAGGTACCTGCCTGGGTTACACTATGCCACTCTGTGTCCTATTCACTGCTGCTATCTCCTTGGTTTCCTGCACTCAAAATGCAAGATTTTGAGACTTTCCATGAACAATTTCTGATTGATCCAGTCTTCCTGCAAGACATAACTGCAGGGGATTCTCAGAATAACTTACAGGTCAGAATTGCCTGTAGAAGCCTCAGAGCCAAGAGTGCCCTTTCCTTCTCCTTCAACACCAGTCAGACCTTTGCACCACACACTCTTGCTTCCCTTCCTCTCTCCTACCTCCCCCCTGAAACTCTGGCATTGATGAAGAGGTGAAAAGAGCATGTTTTCCAGAGGGCAGTGCTCCTATTCAAGGCTTGATTCAGGGATTCCTCAGAGCTTGCAAGGCAGAAGTAGGTTTCCTCATCCCAAGAATTGCAGGCAGCCCACTTGGGTTGAAGAGCCCTTGAGAAGAACATTTTCCCATGGTGATGACCCCCTGCCTTCTCAGGAGCCGGGCTGAATGGGCCCTCAAATCACAATGAAGTATTTTGACTTTTGATTCACTACGCTTGGGAGGGGCGTGGAAGATGGGCAGAGATGGGCAGAAGCCATGCAGCTAACATCAGCTTCTGAGAGGGGACCTGAGAAACAGTCACTGTGAACAGGGACAGTTTCAGCAATACTTTACCATTACAATTAAAAGCGAGTAATTAGATTGCTTTCTCTAAACCACGTGCTGAAGCTAAAACGAATGGGCAGCAACCATAGCAGTGGGAAGCTCCACTTGTGCAATACCACGTGCAAGCAGGGACACGTGTGCCTCCTTCCCAGCTCATCACAGCACCTCTGGCAAAGGGATCCTCTCCTCCCCCTCACTGGGGAGTCCCAGCCTAGGCACACACCACAGCTGTGGGAGGCTTTCTCTTCCTTGAAAGGCTGCACACGATGTTCAGGCATTTTGATGCCTCATTACACTTAAAGGTAGAATACCAGAGTTCACAAAGTCAGGAAAAAGAGAACAAACAGCTATCAAAGAAGGCAGGATGGTGGTGGCTTCTTTTGTCACGAAAGTCTGGTATCCTAAGCCTGAGTTTCCATCTAGTCAAAATAATTCACCACGTGTAGCTAATCAATCTGTGCTGATTCAAGAGTCTAACATAGACAGGAGACTCCTATACATCACACTTAACATGGGAGGAAAATAACAGCTCAGCATGCAGAGATAATTTGAGCCTGATATTATTAGCTGCTGAGCATCCCTGGAAGGCAGTGTGTTGAGTGCAGTATTATGACACATTCTGGCTGGCTTGTCATGTTTTGACATATCACGTCCCATTGTAGGGAGCAAAGTAACACGAGACAACTGAAATCCCCTGCTGTAGACATGTCACACCAAGAGGAACCTCCTGGGAAATAAGAACAATGCCAGCATCCCTGTGACCAACCCAATTCCTCTCCAGCTGATAATGAAATGTTGTAGCAGAGGAATAAGCATTTCTGGAATCTCTTCCATGATCCAGGACTGGGGTGACAGGTAGTATGGCAGCCACATCACACTGCTGCAGAGTCCCCAGCAATTCCCATCCAGTAATAGCACCGGGGCTGCAGCCTACTCAGGGAATATTCAACCACAACCCAAATGCATCCCCCACACCTTATAGATGTGTGCCACGTTCACAGTAGAATGAATGCAAAGCACAGGTCCTGTGGGAGAAGTATCACAATGACAACACTTCTGTTGCAGCCTCAGACAGAAGAGGGAAGACCATAATAAATATATGTATACATGGAGAGAGAAAGAGAGAACATGAAGCAGCCAGCAGAAAACAAGCCATGCATATGAATACCACCCTGCCCTGTGCTAACCCCTCTGGACAACAGGGCTCTCCTCTGCCTCCAGTCAATCAAGATGTGTTACAGCTTCTCTCAGCACATAGGAGCAGAAGTTAGGAGCAAATCCTGCTCCACTCATTTCCCCTCCCATTGCTGCTGCTGCTGCAGCTGCCAGGAGCTGTGAGTCAGTGGCACTGATAGTCGACTGCCAGTAGAGCAGCATAGGGAAATTAATTAAAGGCAGGGCTACCCTGTGCTCTTTAATTAGGGACCTGGTGTTCATGAGCTGCTCGGATTTGCTTTTTCCATCAGAGACTGTTGCTGTCAATCATCCCCCATAGCTTTTCTCCAGTCTTCCTCCCACTGCGCAGCTCAGCCTTGGCTGAGCTCAGCACCCAGCAGGCACCAGCATCCAGCCAGTGCAGTGCTTGGAGAAACCATAGGACCACAGGACAGCGTTGGGGAGTCACACTGATGCTGCATCCTCCTTCTTCCCAGTCCCATGGCAGAGATTGTGTCCTGCCCTGCCCTTTCCCCTCTGAGGAGCTTCTCTATCACTGGTGTTCAGAGTAGGACCAGTATGTGCTCGCTGTGTCCCAGCTTTAGAATCCACCAAGTGCTATGGGGCACCCAAACCTTGCATCACGATAGTTTCACCTGTGTAACCCCAGACAAACATTACCTGGCTCTGTCAGCCCAGGAGCTAAGTGACAATTTTAGGGATGAGCACAAGACAGGGTCGTGGCACAGGAAGGTTCCTAACATTTGACATTGGTGCATGTTAAAACAACCACACAGAATAAGACCAAAATAGGCCAGATGTAACACTGCTGGGGCCCGAGTCCATTTGCTGGAAACACGTCCCTGTTCTGGGGCCCAATGACATAACACAAGTCATGGAATCACAGAATATCCCAAGTTCGAAGGAACCCCCAGGGATCGTGGAGTCCCACCCCTGGTCCCATACAGCATGACCCAAACCCAATCCCTATAGCTGAGAGTGGTGTCCCAATGCTCCCTGAGCTTCAGCAGCTCAGGGCCATTCCCACAGCCCTGGGGACCTTTTCCTAACCCCACCTGACACAATCCCATGCTATTCTCTTGGGTCCTGTCAATGTCACCAGAGGGCAGAGCGCGGTGCTGACCCTCCACTCCCTCTGCTATGGGTTGAACAAACCAAGGACCCTTACCCCAACCCTAATCCTAACCCTAACCCATCCTGCCTTGCCCTCAGCCCTTTCCATCGCCACACAGAACAGCCATTCCTACCTACCCCTACCAAACATGATTAAAACTTAATTGAATAGTCCCAGTCAAAAGCAGAAGATGAAAGAAAATCCAGCACCTGGAACCTTCAGTCTCTCCAAGAGTTTGGCTTTGAGTTTAGCATTTGTTCCTCCAGAGCATTCTTAAAAGCCAGGATCCTCCTTCAGTCAAACTGCCTCGTTTCCCCTTTGCCATCTCAGAAGTGTTATGACTCACGGAACTGGGAAGCAATTAAAGTGGGTCCATTATCTGTCTTTCCGCCAGTCCCCTGTGCGAACTGCATTGTCAAACACGGCAATTAGAAAGAAAAGGCTCTGGGGGCCTCTAATAGATGCTTTGCAAACTTTTTAAGAGGCCAAAGCAAAATGCGATTTTCTGCAGTTTGCAGAGCCGTGGCCTTTCTCTGCCGCTCTGCTCTTGTCTCTATTGATTTGGAGATATTATAATGCAGCTTTCCTACAGCGGGAGGGTCAATAATCATTTGAATTCTCTCCTGGTCGGGCATAACGGGAGTGCTTTACAATACAAAGCCTTTTGCTGATGCACACAGCATTTTTCCTTTGTTTATAGCACAGAAACACCATAGCTGCTAAGTTCCCTATTCTGAACTGCTATTGTTTGAAATTCAGCACAACTCTGACAGATACTCTGCAAAGCAGCTTCAGTGTCTTCTGCTTTGTCCCGTGGACTTGTTGAACTTCAGCAGAACAGGCGCACCAAAAGGAGGAGGGCAGCACTTACATGCATCTCTAGCTGGAAGTGAATTAAGAATTGAACGAGGAAGGAAAATTGGTTTGGATGAGCATCTCCCCAGGCTGCAGCTCTTCTGCTGCCTTGATCCTCTGCTGCAGAGGTTCATAACCTTTGTGATGGTGCAGCTGAGTGGCTTTAGGGTGAGAAGGAGGGGAGATAGGAGTCAGCGCTTAAGCACCTGGTTACAGCTCTGGGAAAGCAAGGGCTTGGAGCAGCACTGGCTGAGCAGCTCCCATCTGGCACACACCCTGGGGCAGACTCCTGGCAGACAGCTGCAGCAGGAGATTTTGGGGCTGATACACATCTGCAGATCCATGGAGATGTCGGGCTGTCAGATCCTGTGGAGGCAAACCCTCCACGGGGTCACTTGAGCTCCACGTCTGTCACAAAGGGCTCCATTCCTCTGCAGGCTCAGCTGAACAAGTGTGCTCAATTTGCACAGCCTGCTGCTGGAGTTCAGCATCCCAGCTCACAGCGAAGACATCAATCTTTTTCCCGTGCTGAATCACAGCTGTCTAAAAATAGGTGGCTAATTCCCTCGTAGATGCTCTTGGGGGTACAAGGTGCCAATGTGAGTGCTCCTCTGGGAGACCAGCGCTCAGCAGCTGTTGTGTGTCATCAGTGGCACATGGGAGCAATGTACAGGCACCAGCATCCCATCCCTAACTACTACAGTCTCTGCTCCCACATGCTCTGGGACTGCATGCATATCCATTAACTTTTGGGACTGCGCTGCTCTTCATTCCCTT